TATTTCGAATTTAGAATCCTTTGTTTTTTATTGATATCCTATGCGAATTTAACGAATTTTATGTTTGAAAAGATTTATAAAAATCAATGCAAATGTTACTTCCATATTCATCCTGTTATGATGAACACTGCATGCTGCTAGGATAAAAGTGTGAAGTACACTTCCCCCAGAAAACTAATAGTGTTTTTAAGGCAAGTTTGTTATGAAGTTTGTCGGTGAGTAAAGTAGAAGCTTTTCTTTGAAATATTTTTCCTTTAATTACAATAACTTACTAACATTATATAAGGTATTTTTCCCGCCTTCTTGGCATGTCTTTGTGGTGTGGTGGTCTGCAGGCTGGGCGCGAATTCCAGAGGTCCGTGGTTCGATTCCCGGCGAAGGCGTTGCTCATTTTTCATCTTGCCTGCTTCCAAAAATACCTAATGTCTCTATAGTTACTTTAAATACGTTATTTTATTTTTCATTTTTGCCTGACAATTAAATATAGAGAATAAAATATGGGTCACTTTATTTCTTTCCACCAGATCTTCTCAACTATATTTCTGTCACTAATGTTACCCTGAAGATAATTTTTTTTTTTTTTCCCTTTTTGGCTCAAAGGAGCGTCAGATCGGAAGGCCTATTAATTTCGTTTTCGCATTTTGCGTCGATTCACCGTAAACGGTGAATCACTTTTGAAATTCTTTCCACCCAACATTAGCGCCCTATATTATATTTAAAGAAATTAAATAATGAAGATTCTGGGTAAATATATGTATGTTTCTTGCATTGCGATAAAACAACGGTACCTAGAGCCATCAAATTTTGAATAACGTACGTCTCCACCCGAATAGGGGAATCTGGAAGCCCAAATTTGGAGTCAACGATTTGAAAACGAGTAATGGCAACACTGAGCAGGGGGGGGGAATTATCTCCAGCCCTAGAGACTGTGTATCGGAAATTCTAAAGATATGCTCTTTTAAATATTTTGCGATATTGCTGTTGGATTGAATTTTATGGTTCAAGTGCGAGGAACACGATATTTAAAAAGAAAGGTAACACAGAAAACGTTAAAAAAAAGTCCCTTCGGAACGTTTATTTATTTATTTATTTATTTTTGTTGTTGTTGTTGCTGCCATTGTAATTCCGTAAAGAAGCAACTAAAGATGCCATTACGACGATATCGAAGACCTTACAGACAACTAAAAGATTTCGAACGTGGTTGCATTGAAGGGTTGCGTGAAGCTGGGTAGTCATACCGAGCAATAGGCCGCAACCTCTCCAGAGTACAGAAACTGCTGTGCAAAGATGTTGACAGCAGTGGTTGCTACAAGGAAATTGCCGAAAGCTCCAAGGCTGTGGAAGGCCAAGGATCACAAATGCGAGGCAAGATAGGATAATTGTTCGCCAGGCCCGAAACACCCCAACGGTAGCATACTACCCGTCAGCCCCGTCGACTACAGCCCCGTCAGCCACTACAGCATTCAACGCACTACATACACGTCTATACCTCCCGTGGTACTGTCTACCATCTCACGGCGCTTATCTCAGGCGGGGTTACGCTCACAGAGGCCTTTAACACATTAACCCCACAACATCGTCGTCTGGACTGGTGTCGCAGCCGATCATCATGGCTGCCATTAGTCTGCCATCGTACAGTGTTCAGCAATGAATCCCGCTTCACTCTTGAAGCAGATGACCACCGTGTTCGTGTCTGGAGAGGACAGGGTCAGTGGTACCTGCCAGGCTTTGTTTTACAAAGGCATAAAGCCATAAACCCTGGTGTGACCAACGATACCATCCTGCGACTGATTGCATTACCCTTCATGGCATGTCATCCTGCGGCCATTTTCCAAGAAGACAATGCCAGGCCACATACCACTGGCATATTTCTGGACCAGGGATGGGCAAACCTTTTCGGTCACGGGCCAAAAATCGAAACCAAAAAGTTTGGCGGGCTAAAAAAGATCTTTCTAAAATTTTAAAAACATATACAAGTATTATAATTTAAATATATTAATGAGATAAATGAAATTGCGATTTCATTTTTAAAAGTCCCTTATATTGAGTTTCGAAGTGAGAAGTACTGATTCTAAGGAACGAGGCGAAATGCTCATCTGTCAGTCTATTTCTGAAATAATTCTTTCTAAGGTTTATAGTTGAAAACGCTTATTCACATATATAAGATGATGCAAACATAGCGCTGATTTTCTGGGCGTGAGATATTAAATTTGAAAAACTTTCGGTAATGATTTATAAAACTCTAACTTTAGGCATATTTAGAACAAACTGCTTGAGATGATTGTTAGATTGCAACTCAATTAATTCAAGCTGCAAATCTGATCTCACTGCTTCACAATTTACGTTGAAAAGAACGGTAAAACTATCCAATTCTGTTTGAATGGTACTGAAATCTTGAAATCTTCCTTCGAACTCAAAATGCAGTTTTTTTCAAGCCGTCTTCATAATTTTTAAGATTCTCTTCTTTTACTGAGGATATTAAATTTAACCTCGAGAAATGAGACAAGTCGTTCTTAGCTAGCTGCCCAGCAAACAGATTAAGTTGTCTTATTAAGTTTTAAGTTAAAATAATTAATATTAAGTTTTTCCTAAGAGGTCTAACTCCCATATCGGATTCCCATATGTCTGTTTCTCGAGAAAGAGATAACGCTTGCTGGCGCCAATTTACAGGTATAACTAACAAAGAGCTTCCACTTTTTACACTTTACCAATTGAAAGCTGTCTGTGCTTGCTGTATCCGTCAAAAAGATCATCAGCCCTTTGGAAAAAAAGGAAGAAAAAAATAATATTTAAACAAAGTAGAAAAGGAGATGGTATATAATATATAAATACACATTTCTTTTAATTTGCCTGGGACCGGCAAATTAAAATTCTATCCACGGGTCGGATAGAGCCTTCCGGCTGACCGGAGTTTGCTTGCGGGCCGTAGTTTGCCCATCTTTTCTCTGGACTGTCTCCGTGCGGTTGGTATTCTTCCTTGGCCAGCAAGGTCACCAGATCGAGCATGTCTAGGACAGTAGGCCGCCAGATTCGGGCACCAAAAAAATATCTTAGATTTGGAATGACAACTGATGAATGCCTGGCAGAATGCGTCGCAGGATGACATTAAGAATCTCTACCACTCCTTGCTTCGACGAATTCAAGCATAAATTGGAGCCAGGGGTGGTTCAACTAATTACTAATTTGAACACTCAGTGGTTGATTGTGAGCCGTGAGCAGGTTCTATGGCCTAGATTTTTTAATCATTTTATTATCTGTGTATGAGCTATACGCATATTCAGTTTCATCCAAAACAACCACTTCCTTCATGGTGCTTCGATTTTTTTGCAAAAGAGTGTATAATTGCAAATACCTTTACATATTTCGTTTTTTCTTTTAATTTTGCTCGTGTTGTTATATACTGTTATAATGTTTTGATATTTTTCATTTTATTACATTTTTTATGATTTAAGAAGGGGGAAAATAATAACAGATGTTGCGGATTAGAGTTGAGATTAAACGCTATCAAACTATAAAGATTTATTTTTTTGGGCTGAAAACAATAGATAGATTTAGGTACGTGAGTAAAATATTTATATGATTATTTATGTTTATGTATTTCAATTTTTGAATTTTTTAATGGTAAACTAGTAAATAATTTTGACTATTATTCTCATATTATATACTTTCCACGCCTTATACATTATATATTATTACATACTTTATTTTTACATTGCTTTTTCATAAGAATCTACTTAAGTAATAACATTTAATATTTTTACGAGAAAAAAAGTCGAGCGTTCCCCCCCCCCAATCAACGGAATGCACGTTTCTTAATATGCCTAATAAATGAAAAATATTGCATTCGAAGTGTGATTGCCATGATTTACTTACGGTCGAAGTGCAACCCTCACTTACTTCCATTTTTACGGTTCAGTTCGTTACGAGTAAAGTAGTTCCATCTGTTTTGTAAATGGATACACAGGGAGAAAGAAAAAAGAAGGGTATTTCGTCCAACTAAATGCGGACATAAATTTCCTTAAAAATCCTTTGCCACAAATGAGAAAACCTACACTTGCTTAGGAGTGGGGGAGCCTTCTAATTCTTTCTCTCAGTCATTGTTACTTTCCGCAAATTCTAACGCTTTTGCCAAAGCTACGTTATGAAATCCGTAGACTGTATTCTAAAAGCCACGTTCTGCTTCAAAGACATCCGGAAACTTCAGCACTTAAGTTTGTTTGTTGAAGTCGTAAAACTTCTCTCTTCCCTTCACCGGACCAGGGCAATAAATTGGGGGATTTGTGTCCTAATATCCACTCTTTACGGGTTCTTTCGAACGGTGCACATTGGTGCTTATGTTACATAATCGAATTCTGTTTTGTTCGTATGCTCATTTCGTTTCGTCGAAAATCGTCTGCCGGTGTGATCTGAGCAGCTATTTCCTGGATTACGAGAGGAGGGAAGGGTATTTATGATCTGAGACCGTAACTTTTGTTGTTGTTGACGCACTGGTCAAGCATCATTCGGTTTTTATAGCTTAGTGCAGAGAGAAGATGAAAGTTACGAGATTCATAGTGGGAAGATGTGGATCATTTCACCTTTTTTTAATGTATTTGCGACTGCAACGAGACTTTTTCCAAATTAGGATATGTAATAACTAAATAAAAATGTTGAATTTTAAAAGAGAAGTAATAGCTACAACACAATGCATCTATTTTTTTTTTTTTTTTTTTTTTTTCTTTGCGATTATAAAGGAAACGTTTAATGAATGTATAATAAATGTTATGTCCAAAACAAGCATGAAAAACTTTATTGACACGCCATGTTTTCATATATTGTTCATATAACAACTTTGCCCTGTCATTAAAAGTTTCTGCGAAAATAATATTTTTTTAGAATTATTTAAATAAGAAATTATGCTAATTATAAATTTATTTATTTAATTAAATTTTTTATGAAATATTAAGTTGTAAGTTTAACTATTTATAATACCATTCTTTTGCAAAATATATTAGTTTTAATTCGTCTGTTGGGAAATTTGTATTCCTCCTTTGTAAATTATATAATCCCGTAGTATAAATCAAGAAAGTGTTTGAAGACCATGTCTCCTCCAGAAGGAGATGAAGATTGTGTATCATTTCGTTGTAGATGAAGACTGTCCTTTCGATGTAGGTGAAAACTGTAATGTCCTTCCGATGTAGATGAAGCCTTGTATGTCCTTTCGATGTAGAAGAAGAGTGTATGTCATTTCGATGTAGATGAAGACTTTATGTCTTTCGATGTAGGTGAAGACTGTATGTCCTTCCGATGTAAATGAAGAATGTATGTCCTTTCGATGTAGGTAAAGATTGTGTGCCCTTTCGAAGTAGATGAAAACTGTATGTCCTTTCGATGTACGTGAAGACTGTGTGTCGATGTGGCCAACAGCCGTGAATCATTCCAGCGTGGGGTGACGATTTGAAGGCACGGAAACCTGTATTGGGATTTAAGTAAGATTAGATTGTAACAGGAATCTAGCACAGTATCCCGGATAATTTTATGCGAACGACTGTATGCCTAACTAAATGAATTGTTAAGTAGACTCAACTTGCGTTGTACCAGTCAAATGCATTCATTTGTTATTCACCATATAATTTTATTAACATGTCATAGTCTGACATAATATACGCATTTGTTTTGTTAAACTCAAGGAAAGCAACAATAAAATGTTATGTTTTCAACTTAAAGCAAGTGTACTTACTCCTTTGGTAGGAAACTACGTTTACACTACTGCGTATCACTCTCAAGAACCTTTAAAACCTTCAAAAATTCAAAACAACATAGTCAAAATAAATAAACTACATTTAATAAAATATTACATTTAATAAATACTTATTAACTGCATTTAATAAAATATTACATTTAATAAATACTATTTAACTACATTTAATAAATGAGCTGCAAATTTTTAGATTTAAAAAAAAAAAAAAAAAAAAAAAGATTTTTAAGAGAAATAAAAGGAAAATGTATAGAATAATTGCATGAATGAAGCCGATGCTGTATTTAAAAGGGAAGAGAGATTTTGATACTTTGTTTTGGCAATGGACGAAAGATCTCTTTTAATCTGATGTAGTTTCGTTTATATAAATCCAATAAACTACATTTTCGTTATTTCTACTTCCAATTCCATACTGATAACCTTTATAAAGAGCGAATTTTTTTTTCAATAATATCTAGAACATCCATAACGTAAGAATTGAAAATAACAGCTAATACTCAGCATTTGTGGATTATGGACGGATGGATCATCACTTTGCTGCTGGCATGAACTACTTTGAGTTTTTGCAAGTAAATCAAAATGCGCCTTAAGGCCTTTCATGGTACTTATAGTAATTAAGAGGCTACGCACCACACCCGAAGGCGGAAGAATCAGTAGTGACAAAGTCAAGCAAGCAATTATTGCAGGTAAATTTGAATTAAGTAAGTAAAAAAAAAAATTGTAAAATTATATTCCCGTTTACCGTTACCACCAATGTGCATTGTGATGAATAGATCACAATATTTACAAATTATTCTATTGAAGGATCATATTCGGTGAGTTCTTTAATTGCAGAATAAAGCGAGTTCTTTGCTTCCTCGAAAACGTTATGAACAGTAATTAACATTTGGTCATGAATAGGATTTATTTTTAATTCCTCATGGATAATGAATGGAGCTACGCACAAACCACGTTCACAATTGATCTTAGACTTTTTTCTGAAATTTTTTTTTTTTGTTTTGTTTTTACTCTTTCTTTTATTAAAGATACGGTTAATTTAAATGAACTAATAAAAACATGGACTCAAAAAATACAAGAAATATGTGAGACGGTAATAAAAGCAAAAAAAAAAAAAAAAAAAAAAAAAAATCCTCAATACTCAACATAAAGGAGTTCCATGGTGGGCACAAAAATGATCTATAATGAGGAAAACAATCTTGGCTGAAAGGAAGCGTTATCAGCGATGCGCTCAAGATGAAGAATTACGAGCTCAATTTAAACAAATTTATAAAAAGGACTTAGCAAAATACAAACGAAAATTACTAAGATCCAAAAGAACATGCTGGAAAACTCATCTAGAAAATATCGATCCCAAATCACCTTTTAATATGCACTATGACATTGCAAAAGGAAATATTTTTTTACCATTCCAAATTAAAGCGTTGAAAAAAACCGGACATTACTAAAACTACAATTGATGGGACAATACATCTGGAACATCATTTCCCAGCAGATGATAGTGGCAATGACTCTCCAGAACACATGTTAATCAGAACTCAATTAAAAAGACGCTATGGAGCCAAACAAGATCTCCTGCTTACTAGACAGGAAGTAGAATATGCTATTAAATCCTTAAATTCTGGTAAAGCTCCAGGACTGGATAATGTTCCAAAGAGATCACCTTTGAAGTATTTTATGCCAATCCAACTTTGCATACTGAACTTATAATGAACTCTTACGACGAGGTATCTTCCCAGAACGCTGGAAAACAGCAAAACTTGTTCTCTTCTCCAAAGAAGGAAAGAACTCCGAACTCCCCGAAGCTTACAGACCAATTTTTTTATTAAATACGTGGAGTAAAGTTTTTGATAAGTTGATTACTAATAGATTAAATTAATATCTCTTCTCTAATGGCAAAATTAGCCAAAAACAATATGGATTTACTGTGGGGGTATGCTCTAAGGATGCAATCAAAGATATCATAAATGCAGTCAAAGCAAATAGAAGGAATAACTGCTACACGAATATTATATCTCTTGATATAAAAAGTGCATTTAATAATATTTGGTGGCCTTACGTATTGAATGAATTACGATCTCTCTTATGTCCTATCAACCTATATAAAGTTATTGAATCTATGCTGGATAATTGCTAAATAGTATACGAAATTAATAATGAGCAATTCCTTCACGTTCAAGAAAAGGGATGTGTTCAGGGCTCAAACTTTGGACCCCTCTTTTGGAATATAGTGATGAATACAGCTTTAAGAATAGATTACGGAGAAGGTGTTCAAATTCAAGCATACGCTGACGATCATCGTGACGGGATCAACACATCAACAAATTCAAAATAGAGCAAATTATGCCCTAACTAAAATAACAGAATGGGCAACTACTAGCAAACTTAGCTTTTCACCGGAGAAGTCCAGTTCAATGTTCATTACAATTAAAAAGAGGGGCTCTTCTTATTCTGCCCCAACCATAAAATTGAACGGCATAACTATTAAACGCCAAAAACAAATAAAATATTTGGGAATCATCATAGATGAATGCCTAACTTGGCTTCCCCATCTGGATTATATAAAAACCAAGGTCTGCAAAATAATTAACAGTTTGATGAAATATTCTGGTTTGTCCAAAGCGGTTATGAAAGAATTATATAAACGAGCAATCGAAAGGACTTCAGTTTATGCATGTGCCGCTTGGTGGCATCCACCAACAGTAAAAATGCGAAATAAAGCCAATACTATTCAAAGAGTGGCTTTACTAGCTATGACTAAAAGTTATAAAACAGTCCCAACATGGGCTCTGCAGATTTTGGCAGGCCTAATTCCACTGGATATTAAATTAGATCAGGAAAGTGCAATTCAAAGAACTAAAAAAGGATGGTCAGACTTCTCATTTGAAGATATTAACTTTCGCAAAGACGATCTCGACTTTCAACTACACAAATGGTATACTTATCCAGCACTGATCAAGACATACGAATGGAACGACCACCTTCCTACTAATAAAGAGTTTGAATTATTCACGGATGGGTCAAAGAAGGTTGAAGGCATAGGAGCTGGATTCTGTGTCTGCTGGAATGGTACTTTACAAGCAGAGCATTCCTACTAATTAGATAACAATTGTTCCGTATATCAAGCGGAAACACAAGCGTTGAAATCAGCTCTCCAATGGCTTAAAGATCACAAGTACAAAGCCCAACTATATACGGACAGCCAAGCAGTATTAAAATCCTTGGCAAAATTTGATATTCTAAACTCATAAATCATAGAAGTTAAAAAGTTTCTTTTTATAACTAAAGCAAAACTACATTGGATACGAGGCCATTGCGGTTACCGAGGTAACGAGAAAGCAGATGAACTTGCTAAGAAAGGAATATCATCTACTGATTGTATTAATTCCAAAATCCCATTCAGCACAATAGTGCGCAAAGACAAAGAGCAAGCTCCCATCCCGTGGCAACGCCGATGGCAAGATGAAGAAACTGATAGATCTACCTTCAAAATTCTTCCTAAAGTATCAGAAAGAAAAGACTTCAATGATTTCTTGGTTAAATCAGATTTTATCTAATCACGGAGCCTTTTCCTGTTGTTTTAACAGATTCAAGATTAAAGATTCACCATGTTATTGCTCTTGCGGCTTAGACTCTGCGAATGCACTTCATATGATTTTACACTGTCTGAGCTTGGACAGTAAACGTAAAGAACTCTTTGCACAAGACTTGAACTTCGACTTACTTTGCAAACTACTGTTCTTAGAAAAGGGTCGATCTCAATTGTCAAAATTCATGGAATTTCTGTATAATAATGAAAATACAATTTATGTCTAAATATTGTAATATTTAATAGTTTTAAAATGTTTATGCATATTCTTGTCTTTCGAATAAGATTAAAAGTATAATGATATGTATTCTCTAAATATTGTATTATATTGAATTTTTTAATCATTCACAATAATATTATCATCTTTAGATTGTAACTAATTTATCCTTGATATATAGATCTGATCATTGTAAGTTTTATATTCAAATATTAGTAAAGATGTTGGCGAGGCCAATACATCTTTTAGTCAGAGAACCTCAATATTTATCGTTAGGATTAAATTTTCAAACATTTTGCGTTTATCTTTTTAGCTAATGCTGGATTATTAGAAACTCTTTGGCCTATGGCTCCGGTGATACCTCAACATTGAGGTGAGGACTGGATATTCCATTTTCATGTAATGGGAAGACTTGGTTTATTGAGATAATCAGAATTTACTGAAAGGTTTATACCCATTTAGGTTTCATTTCAACCAAATTGCTTCCATGAATTTTGAGAACCAAATGAAACAGCTAGTTGATGGTTTATGCTTTACTTTTGGTGATAGTTGAACATTAAAGTTGCTCATTTGTTTTCCCGTAATAGTATTATTAACTCTTTTGAAGCAGAAAATATTTTTAGCAAAGACTCCAAAATGTTTTGGACAGAACTTCACCTATATTATGCTCTCACTTTCACAAGAGTTCCTGGTGTGCAAAATTCTCCTCTGAATCATGCAATAGCCAATCTTCAAAGAGTCGCCATTCGTTAAAAAAGTGATAGTTAATTTACTTTTCTAATATAATTAACTTGTAATTACTTAATAAATAGAGTAATTTAAAAGCAATCGGCACATTACTTAAAGATTTAAACTTTATTTTTTCATAATCTATTTCATTGACATAGATTAAAATATAATCAATTTAGAAAGTTAAAATAATATTTTTATGAAAACATTTTCAGTATTATTACAATTTTTATGTAAATATATTCTTGCTTAACGATCAAATTAATCATGGCAGAATTTCGATCTTTGGGTTATTCGAAAGACTGGAAAATATTCATCCAAAAAAAGGTATTTTTTTTAAACAATAAGATGATGTTTAAGAAACGTTGTTGCTATTTCGTCTAAAATATCAGGGTCTGAAAGGAAGTTAAACACAGATTTAATTCATACGTATGTATGCAGAAAAAGAATTAGTTATAGTTTTCCTTAACTCAGCGATTTGAAAAAATCAGACTATTTTGTATTATGTA